CCCCAAACCCCCAAAACCCCAAAACCCCAAAACCCCGTCTGGCTGAATGGCAATCTTAATTGGGCTTATAATAAATTGTGAGGTTATAAATTAATTTTTTCAAAAGATAAAATGCAAAACATAATCAAGAGGAGTCATCAAACTAGCAGTACCTTTTACTATTACTAATTATAACTTATATATAGAAAGTGGGTTGACTACTGTGTCAAAATAACTCATGTCATTCTATCATAACTTCCATTCACCTCCTGTATACTATGCAAGCGGAATTAAATATATAAATGACTATGATCTGGAAGAATATAGACCATAAATTTAAGCTTTCCTGACTAAGAGAAGAACGACTAAGCGAGAAATTCGTAAGCATATCAACATAATTTAATCTACTTCATAGCCCCTAAATGTTGGATTATGGAAGATATGGGTAGAGATTACAGGGATATTTATTACTAGCAAAGATTAGTCCCATTAGAATACCTCTATGATGATAAACATCTTGTTAGGTTATATGAGGCAGACTCAATCAACTCATAATATATTCAGTCAACTATCAATGAAGAGTATGAGAAGCAGATGCTAGAAGCTTTCTTGCAAAAAAGAATAATGAATGGTTCAGCAATTCCACTTATTGATAAACCTAGGCATGATCATATAGTAAAAAGAACTAAATAGCTTTAAAAGGTATTTTACTATGGAGATGAACTTTCAAGTCTTGAGCTTGATATCGAGAGAATGTACATTTCAGATAAAATGGAAAAATACAGCACATATGTTAAAAGGAAATCAATGAGATATAAAGTTAGATGGACAGTGTCTGATTTGAACAGATATCAAGACTAAGTGAATTACAGAATGAACGATCCAGAGTATTTTGGAACAACCAAGCCAAGATTCCTTCCTCTCGATTTGGATCAAGCATTAGTAAATATGAAGGTTCATTAAGACATTCAAAAAACTTCACAGTTAAGAAGAGCTATGACTTGGTTTACTGATACCAAAGCATTCGAAAGAGGTTAAAAGAGATGTTTAGTCTAATCTACGACACTTTTAAGCAGATTTTTAATGTATATAGATTCGTGGGAGTTTGTAAACACAATGGATGTTGAGAATGATTTCCATATTAATCATTCAATTGCCAATATGCATGTTTACTTAATCTATCAAAGATTGAGAGATTTTTCAGAGAACAAATATGCCTTCTAACTAAAAGAAGAGTTGATTGAGTCATTTAATAAACTCACAAATAGTGAGATGCAAGATGTTGATGTATTAAGAAAATAAAAGAAGATCGATGAAATCGACAATTATCTTTTTGCTATCAGAAGAAACTTTGATTATCATTTCTACATTAATGCTAAGTCAGTTGATAATCCATATTACAAACTTGATGCCTTGGTATGGAGCAGCATTTATCATGAAAAAGTGCCAAGATATTCAGAAAAGGTATATAAAATGGCAGAGTATTTCCAGCAGCATTACCAGTATCTCAAAACTTTAACTTTTGAGGATATTGAATAATGCAAAATTGACTGGTCTGCATATAGAGTTCCTGTAAACTATAAAGACAAGATAATTAAAGTTAACCCACAATTGAGTGCTGAGGAGTTTGAAAAAGAATATAATTCACCTTATAAGATAAAGAAGTTTCATTATAACTTCAGATAAGATGATGAGCTTACAGAGGAAAATCTCAAAAAGACCTTTATCAATCTTTGTACAAGTGCATTTTTCCATAATAAAGAAAAGACAATCAGATAAGAGCACTTGAATCTTGATTCGATGAATAGTAATGAGAAAGAAGAGGTTATTTTTAGAATGAAGAAAAGTCTAGAAACTTTAAGTGAACTCCCTCTTCATAATGAGAGCTTTTTCTCTAGTATTCATAAAGCTAATCCACTTTAAACTCAATTCAACATATGGAAGAGAAACTTATTCGTTCCGTTAACAGACTAATTAGAAGAAAAAGCAAAGAGAAAGATGCAAGATATTGAGGATCAGGCAAAATTGGAGAAAGAAAAGGAAACAATCTGGTTCGAAGGAAAGAGAGAACTATATGATCCTGAAAATGAAGAAAAGAGATTAGAGAGACATCAAGCTATCCTTAAATAGCATTTAGCTGAGGAAAGAAAGAAGCAAGGATTAGATGCCCCAGACTACGATAAAGTATCACCAGAGTATGAGAAAGATCCAATGAAAGACTCTGTTGATAGTCTGCCTGTCAAGAGAAAGCAAAAGTGGAGAATATGGTGATTATTTAAAATCTGCATCTTAAAATTATTTAAACTTCAGGATATTATCAAGGTGGGGTTTTGGGGTTTTGGGGTTTTGGGGTTTTGGGG